AAGGCTTGCAGATGAAAACGCACAACTCGTTGGATAAAAATCATATCCAACTACAAATCACGGGAGATCCTAAATGTATCTCATTAAATCAGAATTTGGGTCTGCTTTGCTGCACAGAGTTCTCTGAAAAGACCCTCCATAGGATTCTATGTAACAGATCTATGGCTTAATATAAATACTTTACCAAGTATGAGAAAAATGTTTAAGAAATTGACAAAAAATGGTGTAGTTTCAAATATTTTATGGAAATGCATCACATAAAACATTTAACAAAATTTGAAAATACTTTTTAAAAAGGTAACATTAAAAAGAAATCTGTATACATGTATTGGGTTTACATGTTTTTCAATCAACTAACATCCATCCAGAATACAGATAAAGAAAAAAAACATTCTTATATTTAACAAAATCGATATGCAATCATGTATGTTCCCATTTACACATAAAATTTACTTCTAGTAAAATGTTAAGGCTCCAAACTGCATATTAAAAATATATTCATCAAAGAGACATATCATAATATATACATACACATAAATATATCTGATTACATGTACTTAGTTTTAAGTAGTTACATGTATTTTTGAAAATGATCAAAAGAGCTTGAAATAATAAATTAAAAAAAAATGTACATGTATATGAATGGGTTTGTGGCAACGCACTTTGAAAAAATTACGCACTTTGAAAAAATTTTTCAAAGTGCGTTAATTTTTGGGACCAGGTTAACGCACTTTGAAAAAAAAATTTTTTTTTCAAAGTGCGTTAATATCGACCATATTAACGCACTTTGAAAAAAAATTCTGCATGGCTTAGCCAATATTCCTACAAATCTCAGGTATGATAAATTATCATTTGAACCTGATTTGATACTTTTTGTCCCCCGCTTGAAAAGTGGGGGATATTAATTTGGGTCTATCTTCCGTCCGTCCGTCTAGCTGTCCGTCCATCCGTCTCTCTGTAACGCTTTCGTTTCCACACGATATCTCGACAACCCTTTGAGCTTTTGCAATGAAATTTAACATAACAGAATCCTTGTGGCCTTAGGAAGACCCTTTTGAATTTGGGGTCAAAGGTCAAGATTCAAGGGCGTAAAGAACTACGAAGGATAGTATTAGTCTTCCGCCTATCTCTAAGTCAATTCTCAAAAGTTAACATATTGGAATGATTCTCAAAATTTTTATAGATATTCATATGAATTTTCATAAAACTTTACTTATTTGGGATACCAAAGAGAGATAACTCTATAATTTTGGCAAAACCTGTGTTTTTCACTATAGAAATCAACTGAAAACTGAAAATATTTTTAAAACATCTACCCCCTCCCCCCCCCCCCCCCCCCGAAACAAAAATTCCTTATTTACAGGTAATATGGACTGTCATTTTACAAATTTATGCCAAAGCTTTTTGTGTTTCACGGGGGGGGGGGGCATATGTTTATAGACAAAACACGAAAAAAATGCTTATTTTTCACCAATTTTAAAGCTATTTAAAACTAAATAATTGTATTTTATTAATTTGTATATGCTTTATTTATTTGCGTAAAACATGAGAAAAGATATTAGATACATGTTATCATATTTATGATTATTTCAAAATATGGCGATTCTTGAAAGTTCATCACTATATCCCATCATACGTTGCGAGGGGATAATACTGTTGTCTATTTCTAAAATATAAGTCTAATTCCTTTTGTTTCATGAAAATTTTTTCAAAGTGCGTTAAATGTTTACATGGTGTAAAATTATGATGTACAGTCTTAACGCACTTTGAAAAAATTTTTCAAAGTGCGTTGATTTGGTCCCAAATTCAACGCACTTTGAAAAAATTTTTCAAAGTGCGTTAACCTGGTCCCAAAAATTAACGCACTTTGAAATTTTTTTTCAAAGTGCGTAATTTTTCAAAGTGCGTTGTAACATGGGTTCATGCATGATAATTTGATATAAAATATTTATAGAGCAGATTATAAGCCCTTTATAGAAGTGACCTGGAATGCACCATTTACAAAAATATGCAAATGCTTGTACATGAATTTAATCAACTTCAAATCTGGTCCCAGGATCATGAAACATCTTCAGCTTAAGTCAGAATCTTTAAATTATACTTAAATGTTGTAGAAGTCAAGCAGACCCAAATTAAAATATGTTTCAATATTGATTCACAAAAGTGTTGTTATTTGTAAATTTTGACAGTAATTCAATGATGAATAAACATTTTCCAGGCATTTGAAAATTTGACTTAAGTCTGAGTCTGTTTCATGATCCTGGATCCTATACATACATGCCAATTGTCTCTTTTTTCCTAAAATAGAAGGAAAATATAACATGTAACATATGTGCATAACAATCATCTAAACAAAACAAATGATTTTAACAGGTAGACTGTAAAACCACAGGCACCTGGCATTACTTATTTTTCTTTTCATAAAAAACATATCCCCTACCTAATAATAAATTAGGTAGGGGTATATTTTTTTATGAAAAGAAAAATTAGTAACGCCAGGTGCCTGTGTGTAAGACATACAATGGATAATTTTTCTGTACAATGTTATAAGTGTATAAATTATGCATCATGATTGCATTGCATTTACATTGCACAGATGATTGACAAAACTAATAATTTGTGATTTAGTCCTTTCAAGACAGCTATACTCATTTACAAGCAATTTTTGAAGGTCTGCAGTTCTATGTAACCTGTACAAAAGAAACAAGTTGTAGAATATGCAAACAGTTGGTGTAATGGGTTCCTGCAGACATGAACTGTCTTGGCAAAATATGACTAGTGAAAAGACCGTCAATTTTCATCTTACTTGCAGCAGAAATAAATTTAGGTTTATAAATACATAAGGGAATAATGGTTGGGACTTTAATAAAGTCATTTCAATACATGTAAATCCATGGTATTAAGGATATTGAGGTTTGAGATACTGAAGTTCAACTGCATCTTTTTTCTGGAAAAAAGGCACATTCATATTCTGAAAATGATAACTATGAAACCAAAACTGATAAAATTGTAAATGATGGAATGGCAGTGCATTACTATTTGACTAGTTAAGACTTGAAAAGCTTACACTAATTTATCAGTTTTGCATCTGTTAAAAAATGTAAAAGGTGAGGGAGAAAAAATGCAATGGACCACAACAAGATTTGAACCCAGACACCCCCCTTTGGAAATGGCTACCAGTGCCCGTGATCACCAAAAACATGAGCATTGTTTTCCTGACAACAAAACATGACACCAATAACTACAACATGAAATTAACAATACATTTGTTCAATAACTAAATAAAATTACCAGTGATTAAAAATACATTATAACCCTGATTGTGGTTTGCATATTTTAAAATCACAGTCAGTTGATTTACGTATATTGTCTGAACTACATTTCTAGGTCATAATTAAGAAATATAAATATTTATTAAAAAAATCTTGCAAAAAAAAGTAGTGAAAATTTATATAATACGGATTAAGAATTTCGCCATTTATTACTGTATCTAAACCTGGACCTGTTTGAACACCATATATGACTGAATTAAACATAATACTTCTTGACAAAAATATATATAAGAACATGTGATTGGAATGACTTGTAACAATAAATATTAAATATATGATATATGACTATACACACACACAAATGATTATTACAGGTTACATTACCGTAAATCTGGAAATTTTTGCTGTAGATAAATTTTTAGCAAATTTGCGAGTTCATTGCATTCGCAAAAATATTTTTCTTAAAAATAAATTACCAATAAGAAATGTAAACAAAGCAGTAATAATTCGCAAAATTTTGAAACGTAAAAATTAATCAACCCCATTTTGACCTGAATTCGCAAAATAAAATTGACGTAAAAATTTCCAGATTTACGGTAATACATGGTACAAATCATTGTCATAGTTTTTCTTGGCAAAGTCTACTGCCTTTAAAGAAATGTTGAGCAAATTTTCTTCACATGTATTTCACTTCAAGCATCCTTGCTACAAAATTTTAAGTAAAGATAATGCTGCAGTTTAATATACCAGTGTAATATACAGGTATGTTGATTTCAGAATGAGGTGGCATATCTATACAATGTATCTATGAACATGTATGGTTGAGTATTTGTTGATACTAAGTATTTTATTATTTCTATCTTGTGTTTTATTGCATATGGTTTCTTGGATTTTTTTTTTCCTGGCAAAAAAATCAAATTTGCCATTTATCACAGAAAATCTGATGCAGAGGTGCCTATATAATAGCATAACATATCCTCTGACAGAAATCACAGATATTTTATGGTAAATATTATGGAATTTTAAGTACCTAGTACACAAGCATTATGCATTGAGGTTTACTATACATGTGTATTGTAAAAAAAAATTGTAAACTGTAGATAACCAAATGTAATCTTTATGCTCCATCTAATGTTTTTCTTTTTTTTTTTCAACATCCTATATTTTAAATTGTTTCACTAAAATCAATAAAAATACAAAAATTCTAAATAGAAAAAAAAATTTATTGAAAATCTACCTTATTAGCTTACTCACAATAAAAACAAATGAAATAAAAAGTAAAATAAATTGATCAGAAAGACCAAAAATCTATGGTCCATAAAATATTTAGCCTTGTTTTCTTTCCAATCAGAACTGGTATAAATTGTACGTGACGACCCAAGGATTAGGCACCGCCCAGTCAGGTAGGCTGTGTATAAATCGCTGTAAGAGTGGAGTTACATGTTGGTCACCATGGAGATAATGGCCGCACAAGACAATTTCTGTAACTAGTTCTGTTTTTTCTGCTACCTGTAAAGGAGAACATCAATTAATACATAATAAAATGATGATATCTATAGTCCTATGGTTTTATAACTGAACACTTTATGAACACAGAAATTTTCAGTAAGTGTTACCTTAAAATCAAGGTAGAATTCCCATGGAGTATCAGGCTTTAGTCCGTGAGAGTAATACACAAAGTAAAGCGTTTCATTGGTTCCTTCTCTTTGTGACACTGGGGTGGGATGTCCTCGGTCAATGGACCAATCAACTAGCTCGACACTAGATGGAGGTGCAATATACATGGTCATGTGGTCAGGTCCTGTTGAAGAATAATGTTATCAAATCATAAGTTGATCTGGCTCTTAATTGGGCCAAAAAAATTAGCAAAGCTCACATTTAATCTCGGTATCACTTTTCATAAGGAATTTAGAGTAGAAAAGTGAGACTGAGATCAAAAGTGAGTTCATTTCATGGCCAGGATTTTTATCTTGTGCACAAAAAGAATTTCCATGGTTATTAACATTGAAAAGGGCAAGAAATCTTTATGCATATGTACCAATTATAGGTAGAGTACATGTAATTAGTTTTACTAAATTAAACACAACTACATGTATATATTTTTGAATAATTTTCCTGAACATTTTTTTCACAGAATATATTCTTTAAAGTTTGAAACTGAAGTATTTGTTAGTTTCAATAATCAACAAGTTTTGTTATACATGTGTATTTTCTTCAAAGACTTTACCTAATGCTTGGAATGTGAATCTCTCAATCTCTGGTAACACATTTCTTCTTTCTAATAGCTTTAACTTCACCAAAGGTTTTACATCTGGGTCCTCGTTATTCATGAAGTAAAGGGACTGCCTTAGAGTCATAAAAGAAACTTTTTAATCATGCCATTAAAAGTTTAGACTTGTTTTACACAGTAATGTTAATTATGTTTGTTCTCTCTCTATGCATGTGATCTCATTTTCCCTCTAAAAGATCTCTCTACATTCCCTCTGCAATTTCTCTCTCTCTCTCTTTCTCTTTGAGACCTTGCTCCTCTTTTTCTCTCTCATTGATATTTTCCCTCTTTGAGATCTCTCTCTCCCTCTCCAAGATCTTTCTCGATCAATGAGAACTCTTTCTCTGTATGATATCTTTTTCACTCTGTGAGAAAATATTTTTCTATGAGATTTTTCTCTCTGAGATCTCTTTTTCTCTCTTCCCATCTATGATCTCTTTCTCTCCGAGATCCATGAGACCAACTGTAGCTCATCCTTTTTTTTTTTTATAATATCATCTCTCAATGTCAAATCTCTCTCTCTCTGCGAAATGCAATAATTGATTCCATGGATATTTTTAGGAATCTACAGTACCGATATAAGTCTTCCCAAATTTCTCCCCTCGAGAAGTAAATTTAGCAATGCTAACTAAAGAAACTATTGCTCTAGCGATATCCCCCTCTTTCCCTTCAAAATTAAATCCTGCTAAAAACATATCGGTATTGGTATTAGTTCTATCTCTCCCCCACATCTATGAGATCTCTCTCTCTCAAATCTCTCTCTCTAATATAGATTTTCTCTCTCTCCTTCGGAAATATTAATGATTTAGAGAGACTTTTCCTTACCTAGGGTCCAGCATATGACTGACTGGGATGAGATAAGGCAGACCACAGTTAGGTCCGTCACATTCTTTACGCTGGGATTTCTTTATGAACTCATTATTGAGAAATAAGTTTTCTCCAATGTAATCCATGGGAAGATTCCAAAGTCCACTGTCTTCCTTCACTAAAAGACCATTTTTATCATGGAATTTTCTATGCATGTGCTAAAAAGTAAAATAGAAACCAATTTGTTACAACACTAAACCATTCTGCTATCATGAAACCAAGAATAACTTAATCTACATATTGCATTAAATGTTTGCACTTCACTTAAAGAAAATGTAAATGCTGTTGCATTTTGTATCTAAATATTTTATACAGTTTTTTATTTACTTTTCTAGAAAAAAAAAAGTTAATATATTTCTTTCAAGGTGTCCCCCTTATCAATTAAATGTAAACAATCTGTACAACATGAAGATTTTGAATAAAAAAAAGTAAAAATGGTCAATCTTCAAAATTTAGGATGAGATAATGACAATGAAAAAATAATGCTCAAGCCTAAAACCTTTTCATTAATCCCTCATAGTAGCTGTACTTACGAATGGTAAAACTCTTTTAGGAGAGGGACCATTAGGGTTATCACTGAAGGGAAATCCCAGAGGGGTGAAGATAACAACTAGTATACCAACAACAAAACAGGAGGATAGAAACAACAGGAAGGATTTCATGTTACTGCATAAGTATGTCACTCCAATCTAAGAAAAAAAAAGAACAAAAAAAGTTTGATTTATATGATATGCCTATCCAAATCAATTTGTATCTGTCTAACATTGCAAGTCAAGAGGCCTACACTTCAGATTTATTTTAAAGACAGGCATGTTCTAAATATTTGTAATAAATCTAAGTAACATGAAGACAAAGCTAGCCAATTATGAAAGAGTAAAAAACAAAAATTAAAAATACAGTATTAGAAGCTATAAAGTTGTGCTTCAGTAATTTAAACATTTATTTTAAAATAAAAATAAACCCCAAAAATGCCACTTATTAGAATATATTCTTTAAATATAAATTCATACCAAATACTGACTGTAGAGACAGACTAACAGACTAGTGATGACAGCAATGGCTACATCAGGAGGCAAGGATGTACCAGAACGGCCCATGATTGGTACAAGTAGTGAGAATATTCCAAAGAAAACCTCCATTGTAATCAGAGCTGGTATGGCTATACTGCAGAGGGTGACAAGGAGATAGGACAGGGGTGAGGCTAAAAGAACAAATAAAAAGTTAGATTTCACATAATGTATGAATTTTTATTACTTGCATAGTTTATTAAATACCAGGTATACAGAATAACTTGAAAATTTGCAGAATGTGATAAACTATAAATGAAGTCACAAAATTATCAACTACTTTTGTCAAATAATTTTATATATGAAAAATTACAAAAAAATCAAGTTAGAATTATCTTTTATAAATAAAGAATAATTTTTTTAGGAGAAGACTAAACATACATCTCCAGTCTGGTTTGATGTAATAGGCAACATATTCCCTGATGACTAGAGGTGGCAGTATCCATAACATTGGCATAAAGGCCGAGGCCAGTCCAGCTGCAGTCATTAGGACGGTGAATACAGACCAGATCACAAGGGAGGCATCAAAGTGGATTTCTTCTTTTATAAATTGACTTATTTTCTGTAAAAAAAGCCAATAAATTTAATGAATCATGAAAATGTTTTGTTACTGATATTCATTCAAAGCAATTCATAAGATGGGTAGCACATGTACTACATTTGTCCATAACACAGAATTTCTCATGGATACTGTAAATCACTTTTTATTTCTTGAGAACTTTATTTTCGTGTAATTACGCGAGACAATGCGTTCGCGAATATTAAATATTCGCGTATAAAAGTATTCCTTACGATTACATAGAGGAATAACCACAATTCTTGAAAATTATGTCTCGCTTACAAGGGGTCAATGACAATCTTGCGAAAATAAGGTGTCACGAAAATTTAGTGATCTACAGTAGTATAATGTCATAAATGACCTGATATTTTTATAACATATACATGTACAAAATTTTCATAATTGGAATCTGATCTACAGTGACTGAAAATAATATATATCTTGTAGTAAGTAGAATTTGACAAAATTCAAACTCATTATTTAATCTAAATATACCTTCAAAAAGTAATCTTTGAAATACTGATGTAGACGCAGTATCACAGTGAGGGAGGGAATTACAAACACTGAGAAGATGTTGATGTTGTGCGTGAACCAGAACATGGCTCGCACTGATGTGCTCATTATCAGCCCAAAACCGGCCAACAAAAGTATGCACAGCACCCAGGACAATAGGGAGGTCAGCACAAAGCACAGCACCAACAGCACATAAGACCAGCCATTCAACTCTACAACACAGAAAGCACACAAAAAGGTTATAGGGAATATTATGTAATGTAATCACATGCATGAAGGGATTTCAGATTAGTTTAAATTATATGAAGTGATGCATAGAGAGTTATTTCTGCTATTTGAGTGGTTTCTTCTTGAATACCAGGTATCAAAAAAAAATTTATTAGATTTTTTTTCAATGAATTGGGCTATGGGAGTCAAAAGTTAATGTGCATTTCAGCTATAGGAATCATGATTCAAATTCAGATATGACATTTATTTATGTTTTTTTCCATGCAAATTGCCAAATCTTGCAAAATATTTTACAAAATTGTGCTAACTAATTTTACCATGTATTGGTATTTTACTTCAAAATAAATATTTAACCTCCAAATCTGGTGAAATAAATAGCAGTATAAAATGAGGCAAAACAGGGAAGTAATTTATAAGAGTATCATGCAGGAACTTAATTCAATATACATGTATTCCAATACTAAACCAATATCATGCAAATCTACTACATATATTAATAAAAGCAATATCTAGAGTTACAGTAGATGTCCATAAATGCTGCAAGCATACATTAACTGGACATTCTCATCACCATTGCCGAGGGAATTCCATACCTACAGGACATGAACTCATAAAGTGTAGGATCTAATCATTAATAATTACCATTCTTCACAAACCCTGATTGCTACATGTCCAGTTGCTTTATGCTTAAAACTATAAAGAAACAGGATATAAATTTCAATTTCCAAGTATATTGTATATAAACTGGAATGGGCATCTTATTTTTCTCCCCCCCCCCCCCCCTCCATCCAAGATTGCAAATGGAAAAATCTTAATTACAGTAAAACTCGTTTAGTACGAACACAGATATAGCGAATTCATGGATATAGCGAAGTTTCTCAGGGTCCCCGGCAAACTTATTAACAATTATTTGTAAAATTTTATGGTTATAACGAACTCGGATATAGCTAATTTACAGATATAGCGAACTGATTTTGAGTCCCGTAGAGGTTAAAAATAAAAAAAATTTCATCTTTTATAACAAATCTTCAAAAATCTCAAAGGTAGATATATTGAACTGACTTTATTTTTAGTAAGAATTTGCAAGTGAAATTCAATTTGTATCATGGAAAACCTCAGTAAGTCAAGATATGTTTTGTAATAATTGTTTCCCTACCACATTCGGTTGTAATACTTGGAGAAAAACGTGTATATTGCGAATTCGCTGTATACACTTATACAAATTCGTTATACGGATACAACGAATTTAGGATATAGCGAATTAAATTCACTGGTCCCCAGGACTTCGCTAGAACCGAGTTTTACTGTATGTCTCCCCCTACTGTATATGAGGATAAGTCATGTTGATGTATGGTTAAAAAATTTTAAATCTTAAAATTTACTGGTATACCTTTTAAAGAGTATCTTGCTGATCTTTTATAAATGTGAAGAAAACCCAAAACAACTGCCAGGTAATTCAGGATCTGTCCAATTCTCAGGGGATAGTGGACCATGAATATTCCAAAGACATCAATAAAAATCATAGATCCGTGCCTGTCCAGACCTGGATCTGCCAGCTTAGGATTAGATGCCAGCTTCAGAATCAATGCCAAGAGGTTATCACCTGTAAAACAAGTCCAAGGATTTTGAAGGTTTTGTGCATATGAAATTATCTTTTTATGATAATGGAATGAAATGCAAGTTTCAGAATCAATGGCAGAAGATTGTTGTCATTTGTACAATAAATCAATGAATTTTGAGGTTTCTCTGAGTATAAAAGTATGACTCTATATTTATAAAATTAATGTTTCTTGAGGAATCCAGGATGCACCCAAGTGATGAAAAGAGGTGGGGGCTCAATATTCATTGAAGTACTTTACAAGAGTCATGAAATAATTGATATCAGCTTTTTGGGTGATTATCATCCCCTTGAAATGGAGTTGGAGGGGATTTAGTAACACAATAATGTGTATTTGTCTGTAGGTGAGTTAGTTAAAGCTGTGCGAAATGGAAGCAACATAATTTGCTTCAGGATTGATATTGAAGGCTGTTTTGATTTATAGATATACTCTTTGTAAGGGGATGCTTTCGCATTGCAGTGCCCTTTTTTATTACACCATGAAGATTTGTCATTTTGGTAAGTTAATCCTTAAATTTACCCTTTTAGATAAAATTAAAATTTACATCTGATGATTTTTTCTGCCTTCTGCCTACTGCTTCTTACATATAATATATGATTCCAAATAAAATTATGGTACATATGTGCCAATTATTACCTGCTCTTTGAAGACACCCAGGGGGTATATACTTCGGCTGATCATAAATTGTGTGGTAGATGTATCCATTGGCAATGTGTGCAATATCCAATCCTAGAAAAAAATAATGTATATATAATATAACCCTATAAAAAGCTAACTTAACACTAGTGTTACATTAGAAAAATAATAGACTTATTATTCATGCATGTAAGTTTAAAAAACAAAATTTACCTGGAAAAAGAGATAAAATGTTTCTGTAGTAAAAAAGAGGAAGTTGAAATTTTAAAATAAGACTTAAAAAAAAAAAAAACAGTACCTGGGATTTTACCATAGTCTCTAAAAATTCTGAAGTCTGTATCGGAGGGAATTAATCCAAGTTCAAAGATCTCCTGACCAATAACAGAACCGAAAGGATGAGGTACTGACTCTGCATAGGCTGCAACCAGCCACGGATGTTCAGGCCCTGAAAAATTCCAAGATGGGTTATAAATAGTTCTTGTATAAATGTAGTACTGAGTTAGATTGAAGATAATGATTTTGAATATTGGAAGTGATATAATACAAACATCTTTTCATGCATTTTCATTACAACATGTTATAAGAATTTCATGAATAATTTAATCATATCTTCATTGTATGTATATCTGGCAAGAAGGTTTTGTTTAGTAGTATTTGCTAGCACAATAAATGATTTTTTTTATGATCCAAGACTGGAAGTTTACCTAATAGATTTTTCAAAATCCTGTTTATGTAAATCAAAATTCTGTGAAAGTGGATGTATAGAAAGTTTCTTATTAGCTAAAAAAAAAAAAAAAAAAAAGCATTTGATGAGATACCTGTTTGGAAAACTACTTCCCAGCCCCCAGCACCTGCTGAGTCTAAATTTATCACAGTCTTTATAGATTTGACCCACTTATGTTGAGTAATAAATCCATGACTAGCCTGTTGAACAAATAAATAAGAACATTTTTATGAATAATATTATACTAGAGATTAGAAAATGAAAATTCAGTAAAATTTTCAGGCAATTTGTAGGAATATGGTAAGGAAAACAATGGTTAATGAAACTTATACCTGCAACATGTTTTCTTCTGCTCCATTGAACAGAAAAATGATATTGTGTTTGAGTTTAAATGGTGATCTAGACATTATTCTGATGATTTCTAGCATTACTGAGCAGCTGACTGCATTATCTCCAGCTCCTAGTGAAAAAAGAAACAAAAAAACTTTCAGAATTCGTCAAATTACACCTGCTTTTCAAAAAAATTTAATTGTACTATGCACCTTCATTAAAACTACAAAGGCGCCTACATGAAGTTAGGATCTTTCATAAAGGGCATTTGATTTCAAAATTAATGCTTGGAAAGAGATGGCATGTAGCAAATTGAGAGAAATTTATTTTGGAAGTATGTAAAACATTCACTTCATCAATCTGATAGTTCAATAGCAAAGTTCAACGGTAACATATTTATACAAATTCTATATATTACCTGGACTAGATGAGACACTGTCATGGTGACAATTAATAAGGAAACTATCTTCGGACTCTTCTTGTTCCGATATTTTTACAACAATATTTTGCATATTTCTATATACACTGTAAAAGTTAGTTTGTATAAAGTTAACTAGGTGAAAAGAACCGGTTGTAATTTGCAAATCTATTTCCATTTTCTTTGATGCATGAAGTTGTTGTTGAATTTTTCTAATTTCATTCATTAAATATTCTTTTGCTTTTACTTCATTTGCATAGCTTCCAGCAACACGTGGTCCAAAACTAGTGATGTTTTCCAAGTGGATCCTTGCTCTTTCTTCACAAAAAAGTTCCTCTGATAAACATGCTTCCCCTTTTAAAGGTGTTGGGAAACTGTGGAACAGCAGATACATTAGCAAGTAAAGGAGTATTGCTGTTCCTATATACACAGAAAATAGAACATAAGAATTAAAATTTGTTTTGGGGTTGTATGGTTTATCCTCTGCGTCGTCCATTCCTTCATCTCCTTGGATAACATCATCTTTGCTGCGTCCCTTTGGATGTCGCTTCCTCGCAGATGACTCCATGGCACGGCTGAAGGAGAGTTAAAACTTATTTTTACAATAAACCTCATTCATTTATCATACGGATATCCTGTATCCTGTATCCTGTATCCTGTCTGCACCTTCCGTGGAAACCGTCGGTCAGCTGGTCATGATCAATCTAGATTTTGGTCTTCAGAAGCACATCCAAATTTCAGTGTATTCAAACGCACAAGTGACTTTGATGTTAGCAAGTGCGACAGTGGGTTCTTTAATCACCAAAATGAACAGAATTTAATGGAACTGTTAAAGAAAGACCTCCAGTATTTTTTTTTAATGGTTACTGTAGAATTTAAAATAAATTGATAATATAAGTAATTCTAGAGCATGGATACTTAATTTGGATGGTTATATTTTAGGTTTTGTTTGGCTTTATTGAAAAAATAAATAATGAAAGAAAAATAAATGATGATACGAGTTATTGCCCTTTGACCTAAAGGCTTTTTAAAATGATAATAAATCTACTTCATAGTTATACTTTCATGAAAACCACAATACTTCGTTTAAAATAAATATTTTGGAAGAACTACATGTTAGAGATTTTATTATTTTCTTGTCGCATTTTGATCATTTTAACAATAAATCGGTGATTTAAAGGTTTTTTGGTAATTTGAGTTACCATAAGTAATGATAGTTCGTTTATGAAAAAGTCGCGGAAAAAGTTTTTGTGGAAATTGTGGGTCTATAAAAATGATAAAGAAAAAATAAAAACATATAATGATTATATATCCTAGGGGAATATAAATAAATACAGTCATAGAAAATTTAAGTGAATAAAACATTATCGAATATGTTATGGGAAGCCCTATTTGGTACAAGTGTGGTGGCGATGTCTGGCTCCGGACGATTCAAGCCAAACGAAGGCGACTGGGTCTGCCCAGATCCAAAGTAAATGTTATATTTGATTTATCGACCTTAACTGAATTACACTGATTGTAATTCTTATTGATGTTATCATATTTTTTTTATTGTTTTAGCACACTACATGCTGATAATTTACACCTCAGTTTTTGTACTAAATTATCTCCCTTTGCCTTAATTTTTTAAAACTAAATTTAGTATTGTTTCCCGTAGTTTTAGATTTAGCTTTAGCTAATCACAAGCATGTCTAAATTAGTATTTAAATTACTATTTATGTTTTCTTTAGTAATAGGGATGTCTTTCCTTTTTGAAACACTTATAAAAGATTTGATTCAAAATGAAACTAGCCCTATCCATAATAATTGGCATAAGGACTAATATTTCCAAATACATTCAAAGGACTCAGATTTCAGTGAGTTATTTGACATTGCATTCATTAAATTAAAATGATTCACACAAGGTTGTTATATGTTGATGATGATGCATTGGTTTGAGGAAGGCAGATACCTCTTCATGTTTAATTTAGCTCCATCTCTTCAACATTGCTCGTGACATTTGATACATCTAGACTCTGTGTCACATGACATTATATTCAAGTTTTATCACCAAACATCAGCCTGAACAGTATTGATTTTAATATATTATGCAATGACAATGAATGAAGCCAAGTTATTTTGATTCCCCCCTTCGAAGAAGGGAGGATATAGATAGTTTTCAGTAGACCCATAATAACAAGAGTTGTTTCCCATTGGCCGCCATCTTGGTGGTCAACCAGGTAATTTTCCCTCTTTGTCCTACCAAATATAAGAGGGTGTAGCACAAATATTTGGGGGGGGGGAATCTTTATGGAATAAACATTATGAAATAAAGGAGGCTCTAACAAATGTATATTTTTCAGAAAAACAAAGCTTCCCAGCCCACAATTGCCAGTATAATAATTAAGTTAAAGTTGGTTGAATTATGAAGGAATATGAGCATGTTGATCCCCTATATGGCAGCTGGCAGGAAATAACTTGTTAATTTGGGTCTCCTGAAAACTATCTATATTGCTTTGTTGCTGCCTGTTGGCCGGTGCACCAACAGTTTCCATTTATTTTTTTCGCAGAGGTTGCACATGCGGAAGTGAAATAAGATATTTTCTTATTTATCTAATATCTACGTCAAGTTCAATTTTGGATATGATCAAGCAATTTTTGACAGAGTTATGCTCCTTGGACTTTGAAAAAATCTTATAATTTGCATTTTTCATTCATTTTTCTCGCACGCATGTTTTAGGGGGGGGGGGGGATATTTTACGAACATCTCTTTCTTATTGAACATAGTTTGTTTTGAGATGTAATTCGCTAAGTTATGTGGGTGCTTATGTTACTGTAGAAAAGTTCAATTGGATCAATGTGCAAAGGCCAATTTTTTTTTGGTCCAGGGCTCCAGGCATTGCTTCAAGAGCTCACAGTACAAGTGCAAATTGCTGCGTTTTCTATAATTTGTATGACAAACCTAATGAAACAAAGTCATGCTAATCCAAGAAATCTGTTACTCTAACCCCCATATTATAGCCCCAAAACAATGCAATAGCTACAGCACAGAAACCATCAACTTAACCTATATAGGGGACCAAAAAAGGTGGGGTGACAATGAAAATTCTAAATTTCCCAGTTGTGAATGTTCAACTCAACCACTTGTATGCTAGTACTGGACATCAACCAATCAAACTGATTATATGATATAAATGAGCAATGAGCCATTATTTGTTATAGTAGATTATTCATTAATGTTGTAATGTCTAGTTGGTATTAATCAGATGTATCATGCATGTAATAATTGCCTTATATTACCAGACTAGTATATAGAAAATAAAGAAGAACAGTTTTCCACAGAAAAAAGTACTCAAAGATTGCATTTTCATTTTCAGGTGTGGGAATGTTAATTTTTCTAGAAGAAATGAATGTAACAGATGTGGACAAGGTATATATATCTATATATGTATATGTATTTATTAATACGATTCTTACAATTGTACATCATAGCTAGTACTTAGAAATATATGGTAAGATTTTATGTACCCTAAAATGTTTACTTTTATTTTCACATGATATTTATTGCAAAAGAGATGATAATCATAAAGAAATAGTATTTATTGTGTCACATGTTTAAGAAATTAACCATCATAAATTAAGCATTGTATCACATTGGTAAAACATGAAGATAAGAAGATCTTTTGAACAGTTTATTGTAGACTTGTTAAACTTCAGTACATGTAAATATAGATTAAGTATTCATTGATTAAAACAGAAAAGAAAGATGGAACTGTATTCAAGAAAGGTGGAACAGAGATCGGCAAACAATTGGCAGACAAAAGTAAAGGCTTATTTAGTGCTGATGATTGGCAGTGTAAGAGGTAAGATAATAATTCCACTGTATTTTGTTATTCAATATAAATTCATTATTTATAGCAGAACTGCATGCAATGTCTGACAGCAGTTGATCTTTTCTTGTCCATAGGTACTGTCCTAAAATCAGAATAACGGCTAGTTCGCTACAATATTACTAAAAGTATCAATTTCTCTAAGAAAAAAAAAATATGTCTGTGATTATAGTTAAAGATACAGATTAACTTATAAATCATCAATTGTGTCTGACACATACATGTACCTAGAATTTGTTAAAGGAATAAGTAGTATTGATACTATCATTATATCCATATATATGGGAGATGAAACCTCTAAGAATTGTTGGAAATTTCTTGACATTTTCTCATAGCTTTGCCTGTATTTCTTATCAATCTTGATTCTCTTGTTTAGTGAACTTGGGTACAGGTTAATTATTGTAAAATGTAAAGGGAATGAATTGAGGCATGCTGCTCTTGGTATATTTATACATGTACATTTGTGACTGTCTCACAGTACAGATAAACATTTTTTTTTTACCAGCTGTGCCAATGTGAACTGGGCTAGAAGAACTACATGCAATGTCTGTAATGCACCAAAGTATGGAAAGCAGGAACAGAGGACTGGTTTGTATTTAGTAGTAAACAATTACCCGGTATATGTTTTATACAAAAACAAATTTAATGAACAGCATATAGTCATTTAATTTATATATTACATTGTATAAACGTATGTGTTAGTTTGGAAACAGCACCATGCTAACTTGTGTGCAATACTTGCAGGGTTTGGTGGAGGTTATATGGAACGAGATGAAATTGTTGAATACAAGGAGAGAGTTGATGATGATGAATATGATGAGGTATTTTGGTTTTGTATGTTTATTGATTTTATTTTCTTGAAAAAAAGATTGATAACTCATATTTAAGTTAAATAAATAATCTTGATTAAATTTAGGATCGTAAAACATGTTTTAGGGACATTTCAAAGTATCAGAATTTGATACTTTAATGTACTTATTAAATACTGGTAATCAAATATTTGTTTATATCAAGAGTGTTTTTTTTAAAATGAGAGAATTTGAGACATTTATCATACATGTTAACTCTCCCGATTTAGGCGGGAGTCTACCGCTTTTTCACTCCGTCTCCCGCCTACCGATTTAATTCAGAAATCTACCGCTTTTCTACAAAATCTGCATCTAAAGTATTTTTGGTTCGCTTGGGTATCCATTTTTGAAGCCACTCTCATAAAATCTCGCTAGATATCGCTAGATATCGCTCGGAATCATACAAACGCTTTTTTTTTTTGTACATAGATTTCAAGCACGGATTTGACAATGACAACAACACAAGACTACCAGTGATTACATTGGTTACGATAAATTAATCAACATCCCTGCCATGAAAAAGGAGATACAGCTTTTAAAAATTAGATGAAAACATTTGACATCGTCTTTAAAAGCACAGAAGCTCACAACTTTATCAATAAAGTCAATCTAAATCACTCAATTGACCAAGCCATGTGGCACATCTCTACTTTTGTTTTCGATCATCGCGGAGAATCTGATTTATATAACGAAAGAAAGGAACTTGTTTTAGATCTAGATAAAACATGTCATCATTTGTTTTGTTTTGAATGAACATTCAGAATTATTGCTTCTAGGCTATATCAGCAAAGATCACTCTTCAAAAGGCTAAGTAAAGCAGCTAATCCAAGCAAAATGATGAGCATTAAAAATATTTGAAATTGTACAATTTATATCAAACTTAAGGTGTTTCTGTCTTCTTCTTTGTTGTTGATATTTAAGATTAATTAGTGTAGGTACCTGATTTCATACATGTATAGTACATGAAAGTTATCGATAATCCAAGCGTTAAACAACACGCGCGCAATGCTACCGCTTTTGAGGTCTGAATCTCCCTATTTTTCATCACAATTGGTTAACATGTATGCATTTATATATGATAGACACAGATTGATTTGTGCATGTAAAAAAATGTCCCAACTGATTGCTTTCAATTTTGAATTTAAAAAACACATGATTTTCTTTCTCAGTTTGGTAGAAAAAAGAAGAAATTCCGAGGATCTACGGAGGAGAAAGTAGCTCCAAAGCCAGCCCCACCCCCTCCACCTCAAGAGGTTTGTTACTAAAAATGAACAATGTTCTCCATATAATGCTAAAGAAAGTTATAAACTGTACAGAATAACTTTAAAAATTTTATGCAGGATGAAGAGGAGCAGGAAGAAGAGGATGAAGAAGATGATGATGAAGATGGTGATTTGGGTGCATATGACCTCGGTGCCAGTGATGATGATGACGACAACACTAAAACATCTGTGAGGTCTAAATCCCGATCACGATCGAGGAGTTCATCATCTAGTTCATCTCGTTCATCACGTTCTTCATCCTCAAGGTCGTCCCGATCCCGGTCAAGCTCTGGCTCCCGATCCAGGTCCCGTAGCAAGAACAGAAGACGGTCGAGGTCAAGGTAACGGGTGACAGGGTTTCACCTTGGTATGGGTCAAAAGGTCGTTATCAGTTTT